CCCCCTCACTACACACGTGTAATCTTCTGTCTTCCCCAGCCTGTGCCTGCCACCCTGAGGGCTCGGAGACAGGCGCATGTGACTACACCACCGGCCAGTGTCCGTGCAGACAGAATGTGGCACTCCGCTCAGCTAACGGCGGGAACACGGGTATACAATGCTTTTGTTCTTGTTATACGCCGTAACTTTTTTGAATACAACTTTCATTTTTTGTGTCATTGCTCAAAGGGATTTGATAAAAAAAATTCCAGATTTTACTCTGTAGCCTATGGAAGTATTTCATGTTGAAATGACCAATCCTTCGCTTCTAAAGACATTTATGATCTTTCAACTTAGAAAATCTCAATACAAATTGAATGTTTTTGAGATGCACTTTTGATTTCCAATATCAGACAGTCATAGGTTTTTTTTACACTGATGTTTACCCATCAGGTATTTAGTCTATTCCCATGACTTTAAAATAAAGCATGCTTTAGAATACCATTGAGTTACAATCAGAATACTGAGTACGTATTAAATATTAACACTATTAATGTTTATAATTACTGTTCATTTGTATTATGTTCGCAATTGTGAGCCTGTTTGTGAGTGAAAGCATACTATTGTGTTATTACGGTTATGTGCACAGATGTGTGTGAAAGAGAGGATCTGTAAGCGAAGAGTGTGTATGTATATGGGAGTGCACATGTGCATGTGTGTGCATGTGTGTGTGCGTGTGCGTGTGAGTATGGTGAAAGACCAAACCATTTTGGACAATAAAGATGTATCTTATTTTATATTATAAAGCATGATTTCCAAATTTACATTTAACAGCCTGACTTTGCTCTTGAAAGTTGTCTTGAAAACTCTACATCAGCTTAGTTGTCACTGAAATATTTAGATATTTGTCTTGTTCTTTTTAATTTTAAACTTTTTTCTCATCCATCTCCCTTGGTAAAGGAGTGCCCGTGGACGGTACGTGCAGCCAGTGTGTGGAGAACTTCTACGGAATAGCCAGTGGTCAGGGCTGCTCTGCGTGCCTGTGTAACGGTCAGGGGTCGGTGTTGCTGCAGTGTGACCAGGCTGGTCAGTGTCCGTGCAAAGACTCCGTGCAGGGAGAGAAATGTGACGCGTGTAAACCCGAGTTCTTCGGTTTTGGCCCAGACGGATGTAGGTGAGTGACAGTGACAGTGATGAGGTGATGTGAGTATGTGTATGATTAAACCTTTGAACCCTTGCCACCTGTATACCGGTGGTGAGTAAAAGTGCTCGTATGCCTAGCCACAAGTACACCGGTGAGCGAGACCCCATCGCTAAACCAGCCTGTCTGAGAAAAAAACGTTTTAGGAAAACAGTGTTTATTACACAAGACGTTATTGATTACTTTGAAGATGTTTCTGAAATAGGTGCTACTCGTAAAGACAAGGACTACCCATAGCGGGATATGAAATGTGATTCTGACAATCACATGAGTATTAGTAATATCTCGCTGAGGAGCTCGGGCAGAGAGGCATGGTAGCCTCAAAAGGTCAGGGCTCAAAGCATTAACTCATTCGGGATGCAGGTTTTGGACCAGCTTTGCACCCAGAGACGGGTGATTTTAGGTCAACTTTGAAAAGTCTGCCATTTTTTTCAATTTTGATATTTTTAAAGTCTGTTTTCTCTATCTACACATTCAACATTTGGATTTTGCTTCAGATCTAATCCAATTTGCCAGGATACATTCCTAAACTTGCCAGGACCCCTACAAAAATGGTGTATGAGATCCAAAAAAGTATTTTTTTCCCTCTAAGTTGACAATGAAGAAATGCAGGAACAAACAAGATCAAGTTACAACACAACTATAACGCAGCTAAAAACGCATCACAACACAATCTGCAGTTTAAATACTGTGAAGAAATAGTTCCAGTCACTGTAAATAGTTCTTCTTTGTGTGGTACTCCTCGAAGTTCCGTGTTCTTTGTCGCCTCGACTGCCTTCCTAAATCGCCACAGAAAATTTTTTAAAACGATGCTATATGGTCAAGAGTAAACAAATAGAAAATAAAATATGGTTTAGCAATGTCAAACAAAAGTTTGTTCCCTTGAATACCTTCATTTGAGCGGCCGAGAAATGCTATCGGACGTATATGTCCCATGCGTCTCTAGCGGAGCTCAAGGCTAGCGGACGTACGTCCGATGTGTCCCGAATGAATTAATAATATAATAACAATAATAATGACAATAATAATGTAGATCATTTCTATAATGCCTGTTCCCATGTGAATACAGCTCTAGGCACCTATAGATGTGCAATCTACATTGTGACCTCAATATGAACTGGTGTGCTTTGCTTCTTCTTTTCTTTGTAATTACTACTCTCTTGTAACACCTCTATTCTTTGACATTTAGGCGATCTATTTGTGTTGCAAGTGCTGTGTAACTCTTACTACACTAAAATTTTCTTCTTGCTCTCAAGCTGAATCTTCTGCACTTATACAACCCGTAATTTATGTTGCAAGTGCCGTAAAATTCATGGTCATTGTTAGACATTGATGGACGAGCTTATTATCATTATATTATTATTATTATTATTATTATTATTATTATTATTATTATTATTATTATTATTATTATTATTATTACTATTATTATTATTATTATTATCATTGTAAAATTCTTACTAAATCTAAAAAAATAGTGAAGATTTCTCTCCCTTCTCACTCCCCAGCATGTGCAACTGCTCGTCTGTGGGCGCCACGTCCCCCAGCTGTGACCTCACCTCTGGTGTGTGCGACTGTAAGAAAAACGTGGAGGGCAACAAGTGCGACAACTGCCGCTCCGGCTTCTTCAACCTGGTGGACTACAACCCCGACGGCTGTCAGCCATGTTTCTGCTTCAACCACGGGACGGGATGTGCCTCGGCCCCAGGCTTCCAGCTTAAAGAGTGAGTGTGGATATGGGTTGTTCAAGTTTGTTTAAGTAGAGTTTTTACGGCGCTCGCAACTGCATAAGGTCATCAGAGTGCCAAGGGGTGGATGTCTACAGAGAAGTTCAAACTGGGAATCAGGCTTACTCTGCTCACCTCTCTAGCTTCAACAGCACAAAGTCTGATTTGACTGTCAAGGCACCCCGGAAATAGCGGGTTACAAAAGTGTGACAAACATACAAAAGAAGTAGAGGAAAATGACAATAGTAAGGATTAGGAAAGAAAAAGCAGCACTTCCATGTTGCAGTTCAGGCACAGTTATAAGCATGACATTGATAAATCAGCCCATTTACAATTCTACTGTACATAAGAACATGTTTATGTTCCCCATTTGGGAATGGCCTAAAGACACTTCAGTCAGTGGCACCGCCCCGGGTTGTTCTAGTCACTACATGACATTAGAGTTACAAATTCTATCTGCTCAGTACCAAGTTTTGAGAAATTTGATGTGAAAAATTTTGTTTCACTTGTCATGCTTTTTTAAATGCAGTTCTTTGAATATCTTGATAAAGACTCCGAATAATCTCAGGATTTTGATAGAGCAGATAAAACATTTGGTTTCTGACCTCATGGTCTTAGTAACGCAAAACGACCAAAAATGTCAGATAGAACTTTGTTATTCTGAGGTAGAATAGTGTCTGTGGGTTTTTAAAAATTTGTTGGGGTTTTTTTTTGCTATTAAGGGGGGTGCTATTATTTTATTGGAGGGTTATTTTTGTTGGTTTTCTTTTTTTTTTTGG